TAAGTGTTTTCTTTTGGCATCTTTTACAGTTCTTTGATATTGTCCCCAAAAGTCCTTCAGCATCTGAAATGACACTTGTTTGTCCATTTTCGACTTGTGCTCAGCTCGACGACACTCGCGTCTGACAGCTCGGGTCATGTCGTTCAGCCAGGGCTCAGATTTAGTTTTAGGCAGTCTGGTTTTTAATGGCGCCACAGTGTCCAAGGCAGTCTGACAAGTGGAATAAAACCATGAGCTAAGTTCCCCAGTCTGGCTGCATAAAAACTTTTACAGTTCTGGTTAAAAACAGCTGGAAACTGGTCAGCAGTGGAGGAGTTAAAAACGCAACAGCACCGAGCAGCAGCTGTGAGCAGGGTTGCATCACCGGCTGTTAACAACAATGGCAAGCCCCCCTCCTTTCTGCGGATCAGGCTTTCAAATGAATTAAAAGTCTGTCTGGGGCTTTAGTTGACTGATAGACTGGTGTGGAAGATTGCTGCCACACCACCTTCTTGGCCTGTGCTTCGTGCTGTGTATTGCGGCTCCTCCACCCAACGGGCACGACAGGCCAAACATGAGAACGCTGATGATGCTCAGCAATAAACACATTAATGCACTTATGTACTATTTGTTCCTTTTATTCCACATGGTACTGTCCACTATACAAAATCAGCACATAGGATCAACTTTTAAACAAACGCGCAGATTTCACAAACACAAGAACTGCAACTCACAAAGTCTTACTGTCACGATCCAGGGTCTTTTGACCCAGCGTTTTAAGTTTTAGTTTATTTTCTATGTTTATGGTTTATGTTTAAGTTCATTAGGTTATATAAGATCATTTGTTTATTAGATTCCCCTTGTGTATCCAACCCCTGTTAAGTCTCCCTTGTCCTTCATGTGTTTCATGTCTGTGTTTCTTATGTTGTCAAGTTCATGTAGTCATGTTTGCGTTTCATTACATTTCATATTTTATTTTGAAAGAGGTCCTGTGTTCCTGCATTTTGTTTTACTCTTCCCCTGTGGCGTCGTTATGTTCATGTTGTGTCTACTGTGCCTTTCTGTCCCATGTTTCAGGTCTCCTCAGTCTGTTAAGTTTACCTGTCTTGAGTTCAGTCAGTGTGTTTCCTGTTTTACTTTCATGGTCTATATCCTATGTTAATGTTTCTAGTTTTGCTTCCCTTGTCTCGTCCTGCCTTTTTGAGTTTACTTTTCGTCTCTGCGAGTTTGCGTTTGGGTCCTACTCTTGCTTGCACACAGCCGTATTGTGACACTTACACCAATTATATGCCACGCTACAACATTGGCCTATGGCATCAATTAGTGCACTAAACTAAACTCAAGTTGCATACAAAAATGCATCAAAATGACTCAAGCTGCACTCAAGCTACGGTCAACAGAAAGCTTCTCCTCATGCTCACCCTACCTTTCTGCTCATCAACATCAGGTGCGGTGAACAGGTGAGTGCAACCACATTTATCACCTAATACACCCATGAGTCACGCCCAACACCCGTGCACCAATACAGAGTGTGCATTTAAAACCAACCCTCTTAATCAAAAAAAGGAACAACTCATATGGCTCCTACACTGTGTGTTTATCTTCATGGAAACTTGGCTGAATGACACGATCTCCCACGTGGACATTCAACTAATGGGGCAACACAATATCCAGGAATGCCGGTACATCTGGAAAAGGACACGGCGGCGGTGGCCTGTATGTTTAAATCAACACAGGTATAATCAACAAGCAGTGCTCTGCTGAAGGAATTTATGGCAGAGATGTGAAGGCCCTATTATTTGCCAAGGGAGTTCAGTATCATTTTGTGGCAGTGTACATTCCCCCTGAAGCTAAGGAAGCTCTATGCAAGCTGTATGAGGCTGTCAGTGACCTGCAATCTGACCATCCTGAAAGATTTTTAATTTTCACTGGGTACTTCTGTCAAATGCAGACACCACAAGGATGCTCGGAGGTAAAGTGAAAAGAAACAATTTATTTTGGCACTAAAAAGTGTCACACATTGAAAGTGGTGAACGAAAATGAAACACTACACATTAACTAAGGACGAGAGGGAAAACAATTGGCCTCTGGACCCTTTAATTTACTAAACCAACGCAAAACTTCCTATTAGAGTACTAAGAACTTGTAACTAAATACTGGCAAGAACTACGAGACAAAACTACTACTAGGAATGCTGAGAAAGAAGACAAAGCTATGAAGCACTAGGATTGGCTAGGACACAATGATAATTAAGCATGAAAACAAGATTCACACCACATGTGCAGCGGCAGAGTCCAAAGGAAAAAGTCTCTTTGGTTGGCTGGGAAAAACAGCCTGAGCACGGCTC